TCCTCACTTTAAGGTCCTTGGTATTTAGTTCATTGCCTTTATTTCACCTATTGAGGTGCTGATATCATGTTGAAGTTCCTCTCTATAAAGGCATTATAAAGTCTTAAAAGTTACAAGCAAATCAAAATACATTACCGACCTTTCTGATAATGTAATGATCTGAATTGTTGAGCACACTCCTGAACAAAGAAGAAACTTTCTGAAAGGAACGTATAAAATTTGTTGTTAAAAGTTGCTGATTCTGACATGGTATTACATGATGATTTGATTATATTTCGTTTTACTAAGTATCCAAGAATTTCTAGTTGGGTTATGCAGTAATTTCAGCATTGTGAACCTAAACAGGCTAAACATTTTCTTGAGAATTTTTATCTTCTGCAGATGACCATTACCTGGACAAGCGGTTATGACATAACTGAAGCCGTTCCTTTTGTTGAATGGGGTCTTGAGGGAAAACTGTTATCAAAATCTCCTGCTGGAACATTGACATTTGGTCGTAACAGCATGTGTGGTGAGTTTAATAAACTTGTTCAATGGGTTGGTTATTAAATGCATGAAGCTGATTTACCTAGTATTCTAACAAAAGCTTTGAATGATATCCCTCACCACGTGGACGTTTATTCATAGATGGCATTTCTGTGTTATTTGATCCACTTAGTAGTTTTAAGAAAATTTGTGTAGCCTACTGAATTCTTTCCTAGCTTCCTTAATCACCTTGGTCAAGAGATGAATAAAAATCATTAATGAGCGGATTTGTGACTATATGTTCGAAGCTGTAAAACTCTAAAATATGGCATAGTTTCTATTTTATTATTACCTCTGGTTCTAATTATAAGACCTTATTTGTAGTCTACAAACGAAGTCTTATAATTACGACCAGAGGTAATATTTTGAAAAGGGCTCTCGTTCTTAATGAATTGAGGTTGGCTGATGGTTTGTGCAACTGTGTTACATAAAATGTTTTTCTTGCTACTCTGCAGGTTCACCAGCACGAACTGTTGGCTGGCGTGACCCTGGTTTCATACACACAAGTTTCCTAAAAAATCTTTGGCCAAATTCTGTGTATGACCTAAAATACTAGCACTCATATATGCTTCTAACATTATTGGAAATCAGTATTATTCTGATTTTCTTTACCAAAAAACTTTGTTTCAGGTACACATACCGATTGGGACATCTTTTGTCTAATGGAAAATATGTTTGGAGCAAGAGCTATTCATTCAAGTCATCACCTTATCCTGGACAGAACTCTCTGCAACGTGTTATCATATTTGGTGACATGGGGAAGGTAGTAATAAAATATAGATAAAAGTTAACGTAAAGAACCTCTTATTCTTGAATCTCGGGACATAGAATAATTGATAAGCAACTCACCGGAGACTGTCATAAATAACCATTCTTCATAATTGTTAATTTATGGCAATTTTAAACTTGATAAACTGGAAAAGCGTTTAATTATTTTTTTCCCCCTGGTTATATCAGGCAGAGCGTGATGGTTCAAATGAGTACAGCAATTATCAGCCTGGTTCGCTTAACACCACTGACCAGCTTATCAAGGATTTAGACTATATTGATATCGTTTTCCATATAGGAGATATAACATATGCGAATGGTTACATCTCACAGTGGGACCAATTCACGGCTCAAGTAGAACCTATTGCATCAAAGGTGCCATATATGATTGCAAGGTTTGTCCAATTGTCACTACCTTCTTCCATTGACATGTAAATAAGATGGTTTTATCTAAAGAGCTGAATAATACTGTTTATCTAATCCTGCAGTGGCAACCATGAACGCGATTGGCCCAACTCAGGATCTTTCTATGACACCATGGATTCTGGTGGGGAATGCGGAGTTTTGGCTGAAACCATGTTCTTTGTTCCTGCAGAAAACAGGGCGAAATTCTGGTAATTTTCATTAGTTTCTTGCAGAATACGATTCAGTTGTTTTAACTAATTTAAATGTAATTTAATAGAGCTGTACATGCTTTTTGAACAATAAAGGGAGTCTAATGTCGAATATATGCAGGTATGCTACAGATTATGGCATGTTTCGCTTCTGCATAGCTGACACTGAACACGACTGGAGAGAAGGATCAGATCAGTACAAATTCATTGAGCATTGCCTTGCAACAGTAGACAGGCAAAAGCAGCCCTGGTTGATCTTTGCTGCGCATCGAGTGCTTGGATATTCATCTGATTATTATTATGGCTTAAAGGGCTCATTTGAAGAGCCCATGGGAAGGGAAAGCTTGCAGAAGCTTTGGCAGAAATACAAAGTAGATATTGCGTTTTATGGTCACGTCCATAACTACGAAAGAACATGTCCCATTTATCAGGTAAGCACGATAGCCAAAAGAAAGAAATAGTTTCTGAAATCAAACCAACTTGCAGTTATTTTCTTCACTCTAAAATGTTTCAAGATGTGTTCTCTCTTTTGTTTGCTCAACTTTTTAACAGTGACTACTAACTTGGGGATAAATGCTCGTTCATTTTGTGCATTCTCATACACTCAGTAATAGGTTTTGATTATCTTCATGTCATTTGCCTGACAATCCAAATATATGTGCAGAATCAATGTGTGAATACAGAAAGGTCACATTACTCTGGAAATGTTAATGGAACTATTCATGTTGTTGTTGGAGGAGGAGGGAGCCACTTATCTAAGTTCAGCCAAGTAACCCCAAGTTGGAGCCTTTACAAAGACTTTGACTTTGGGTTTGTCAAATTGACGGCATTCAATCACTCTGCTCTCCTCTACGAGTATAAGAAAAGCAGTGATGGAAAAGTCTACGATTCTTTTACCATTTCAAGGGATTACAGAGATGTCTTAGCATGTGTGCATGATGGCTGTGAACCTACCACCTTAGCTACTTAATTTGTCTTCTTACATACATTTTTTTGTACAGAAGTCTTCTTATATGCACTTCTTTTTTCTTTTTTTTTTTGTATAAAAATATTGCAAGCAAGGTATATTTTGGTGTGAAGCAAATAAAGTTTATCGTTTCCTCTTCTGTGCAAGATAGAGGTTTGGCCTGTACAATTCCTGTTATACATTGATGGCCATAGCCATTGGTTAGATCGAATACATGCTTATGTTGCTGCTCCCAGAGCTGAAATAACCTTACAGACACCTCTGCTACATATACGGGAACCGACGATTTCTAAAATTTAACTCTATTATCTAACGTCAATAATAAGCAAAATGGAAGAGAAGCTTGAATTTCGCAATGGGGGAAAAGAAAAGAGAAGAAAAGGTACGTTGACATCGACTTTATCATCTGATTTATTTTTTTGTTCTTGACCAGAGATTTTATCATCTGATGAGTTATGCTCCTTGGATTTTTTTTTTTTTTTGTTAAATAAGAAAACCAGATTCAAACTGAATCAATGATTACATCAGGGTTATCTGAGACTCAGATTCTTTCTAGCTCCTTCATAGGCAAGGAAATGGCATAATATCCTGGCCAAAGTGTGTCAGTGAGTGGCGTGCCAGAAAGTCCGCCTCGTTATTGGCCAGACGAGGGGTATGCTTCACTTGAGATTCCGAGAACAGTCCACTCTGTTTTTTTAGGTATTCACCAAGTCCTCACATCAGTAGCTGTAATATTCAAACTCACAATGGATTATGAGCGGACGCCCTAGCAAGACCAGCTCTTGTTGGCATCCACTCTCTTTCCATCAGCCCTTTGACCTCACAAATCAGAACACAATCTGGATGTCGTGTCTCGACGCAAACTGCTTCGATTGAGTTCGTTCTCAGAATTAGGGGACGTTTAGCCGAGCTGCTCCGCGTGAAGACTATCTCCACTGATGAGGTTCTGTAAGAAGCCCCCCCTGAAGTTGCCTAAAGAGGCTCTCACAGCCTCTTTATTGACGAATTTCAGAAGATGCACCATCCACACGTTCACGCATACCCAATCGATGATCTGGTCGTTTCCAGGTTTTTTCGTTGCTTGGCAAATTATGGCCCTCTCAATGCCACTCACCTTCTTTCGTGCATGATTACGTGACTCAAGAGTTGCTCTCGCCTGCGCCAAGATGCATTGAACTGCACTTTGCCCTCAAATATACGTTCATTTCCAAAGGTGGCAGAGGATAGTAAAGATAGCGTCCTAGCTAAGTTAGCCGTCTCCCCCAATAATCTCTGGGTGCTGATATTTTTCTGGGTCTGATCGGAGTGGTTAGCGTTCAAAAATGCTTGGTGTGGCAATGGGTCAACTATGGACCTCCAAAGCCTCTCAGTGATGGAAAAATCACAAAGCACATGCATGGTATCATCAACATTTATGTTGCACCATCAACAAAGGCCATCCACCAGTGTGCTGGACTAATGACATGAAAGTTTTGCATCTGTATGCATGGGGTGATTAAGCTTCCATTTCCATCTCATTTGATCAGTCCCGTCGACTTGTTCAATGCCATTTCTGACATTTTCCCATGCACTTTTGATGCCCGACCAGAGATTAGAACCACTTCTTTTCTTGTCAACTCTCGGAAGCGTACTGGCCCCACATCGACATCTCCCGCCCAAAACCGTCGCCCGCGCTTTGCCTTATTTACCAAGCCTCAGCTTAAGGGTGAGCTGGGTTAAAAGTTGCAGCATAATGGGGTTTTGTTAATAGAGCAGGCCTAGCAAATCGCTTTCCTCTTGGTCAAGTGATGCTATGAATGTGACGATTATTCATGAGTGTGTGTGTGTGTGTGTGTGTGTGTAACACTAAATCTAATATAAACAATTTTACATAAAATTTAAAGACATTTGTCGTACTCATTTTTATCGTTTCAGTCCTAATCACTACCCACATTCTCTCCATATATTGTCAAGGAAAAAAATTATGTCTTCTATCCATATATTATTGGATATATAATATCCAAAATTTAGAATCCAATTCAACTTAAAATTACATATTATTTTCACCAACAAAAATTTTGTAATAGGATATAAATGACATTTTTATCGCTCGATCAATACCATCATATAAGTAAAACTTAGTTCAGGTCCTCTGGAAATACCATTTCAGCAGATTAAATTACATCTCCAATTTTAAGTCCAGAGTTGATCAACAGTAATAGACTGATCGCCGAAACGAATTACTATCCTCATGCAAGCTAGAGTAAGCCAGAAACTGACATAGGATATAATAAAAAAAAATTTACAATTTACGATCATAATAAATTTCGAGCATCTGGGATACGATAATTGCTAGAAGGCCCGCAGCACCACAATCTCAACCAAAGACAATATATACCAGCAACAAAGAACCCCCGGGCTGGTGGATCACCATCTTGCTGACATGAAATTGCTCACCGCCTGGGTTAATAATTATATCTGCAACTCTCAAAATATGACTATGAGCTATCGCTTCTTCGTATCTGAACATGAGTGGCAGCTTGCAAATTTGTAGGATCCTCCACTATGGAAGCCCTGATCACATAAGCAGCACAATGAATTTCACGTATCTATTGTGTTGTCAATTCTCACTGATCACTACCAAGTATCAGCCATCCATCTCAATATCACATGGTTTGGCTCCTTGATCAACTGCTGCGCTGACAGATGCCAGCAGATCATCGATTCTTAGGGGAGAATGCCGAACACTGTACTGGAACATAACCTGCAAGTGCAAATTGAATTAACATTTTAATCAAAATCTCCACCAATAATGTCGAAAATGAAAAATGTGATTGCAAATTAATGGTGGTTCTTAATTTAGTGAGTTTATGCAAATAAGCACACCAAACATAAGGGGCCTATGAATCAGACTGTAAATCAGCTTAAGCGAATGATCCAGCACAACAGCCTTATACTTTCATTTCGCGCAACAATTCGGAGCTGGGAGACAAGTGTTGTTATTTGTTGCTAAGTTCACAACTTAAGGGTGCAGTTGCTTTACTACTTTTTGGATTTCTGGTAGAGCACAAACTTGATAAGCAGTGACAAATAACTGAAACTGAATTATGTTATGGCTGCAAAGAAAAGATTTTGAACTCCTGTCATTGATCCAAACTGAATACTTCATTAACATTCCCTTACTATTACATTTTCCTGTATCAATTTGCCCATCGATCTGGACGAAACCATCAGATTCAATAATAACAGGATGTGGAATCTACTTAAGAATGTCATCAGACGTAGCCCTTTACAAACCTTGGAGAAACTATCAGCAGAAGCTCGAGCTCGATTGGCCTTGCCAAGATAATGTAGATCAGCTTTCTCAAGCTTCCCATCAACAAAAACCAATCCTCCCTCTCCAATTGCAAATCGTACCAGACATCCTGATTTTAGTCCTGACTGAAAATTGAAGAAACTTAAATCAGAAATTAATTGGCAAAAGATAATGATGGGAAACAGTCCCTGTGATGTCTAGGACGCATACTCCTTCATTGCCCTATTTCATGGCAATCTGATGATACTTCCAGCAAGGACAACCAGAATAGTAGATTTTGTAAGGGAAACATCACTGAACAATAGGATTTCATAAAGAAGCCTCTCCCAAGCATACCTGTTCTATAAAGCTTCCATCCAAGCAGCCAAATACCGTTGGAGGATCATCTGATGTAGTCAGTCTCCCATCCTCTTGTAGCTCGAAAACCACCTAGTTTAGAAAATAAGCACGACCGATTAAGCAAATTTCAATTTGATGTTGCAGTAATTGTGTGCTTTGGCTTCCAAATTCAATTTGCCCAACGTCTAAAGAGCATAGACAGTTGCGATGAAAACGAAGCAAACAAAACCAAATAACTAACTAAAAGCATTGATATAGAATCACTTCAGAGGCACAAGCATATCCGTTCATGTGCATACACAGCTCAATCACACAAGGGCCAAGTATCCATAGACGAATATTTATTGAAATAAATAAGAAGTAACAGAAGGAAACTTTTGACAACACCTGTTGTTGGCTTGGAACATGGCCTTCATTATTTGTGTCAATAACATATTGACTACAGTTTTCATCCTTCCAACCAAAGCTAATGGTGTAATTCCTGTCTGGTAATGCGCGTGCCTAGGAAAGAAAATAGATCAAAGGACAGTACTAAAATCGAGTCAGGAAAATGAAAATAACAAGAAATCTTAGAAACTGAGAGCTTCTTAGCAATGAATACTATCTTTATGCTAGGAGCATCATGCACGTGTCTCCAACTCCAACTAAAGAGAAATCAATAAAATCTTACACAGAGATTAACCTAAGAAGGAACAACACAAGACTAATCCACTTATCCACATATTTAGCAAATTTTGCAACTAGAAATGGGGGAAAGGCAATAGAATACTAAGGTTCCTCACACCAAAAATTTACATATTTAAAGGAACCAGTTCTTTCTATCATTAATTTTGATTTCTACTTCTACAAATTAAGTCTAAAGGATGCAAGGTAAACATTTCAACAAGACTCAGTGACTAACTATAAAGTAGTTATGCATATGTTCCAATTGCACAACCTGATGAAAGCATTTTCACCTAGGTCGTCATTGATAAAATACTTTTCTAGCACTTTGCTTTATAGGTCTACTTCCACATGAGAAAAAACTAGTGTTGAAGAGGAGTTTTACTTGTTATAAAAGAGAAGGCCGTCTTTCACATATGGTGCTGCTTCTGTATAGGCTGCATATAGACCATTGTGGTCGCAATTATATACTGGAACCAGACTGAACTTGTACTTGTGATAATGTGAAGGCGCGTTGCAAGCACCACTCTCTGCAAGCTTGGAATTCAACCAAAAAAACCTGAATTCCGCCGTGCAGTCATAAAGAGAGTAGCCCCGCCAGCAGACCATGTCAATTACATAGTAAGTTTGATCGAGCTGTGGGTCAAAGTCACAGGTCACCAACAGTATAATTATAACAGAAATTTACTGATAGATACAAAAAGGCTAACCTCATGAAAGATGCAGTCCAATATAGAATAAGATTGAGCAGAACCGGAGACATCCTTTTTCCTTGCCCCGTTTGGAAGAGCAGACGGGAAACGATGCAGTATAGATCCATTCCTTAGCCTACTGATAGTTGTTCCGTTACAGGAAACTACAAAGCACCGTTTACCTGATGGCCTAGCAAATACATACCTGGAGAACAAAACTCATTTACAAAATGGGGCGTAAGTGATCAATTATAAAACACTTCTCAACGCTAGAAGTACAAAATTCGGACGGACAGACTGACTGAAATGATCGTTTTAGAGCGAAAGGGGCGGGTTATATTAAGTAACGAAACTCAGATAAGATTCATAAGAAGAGTGAAAAAATAGTGAATGAATACCAGTCTTGACTAAGTCCATCAGGAATATCGATCATCCATTCAGGGTGCATAAGCTGTTTCGCAAACCATTTCCTCGCCTCTGCGCCTTTGAGCTTGGAGGCCCGAACAACATCGAAGTCCTTGGGCGAAGGCTCCTGTTCACTCTCGGGCTCATGACCCGGGTGGGATTCGGGTACAGCTTCAACCTCGAGTTCAGATTCTGAAATAGGTGCTTCAAGGGTTTGGGAAGCAAGAGAGAAAGCAGTGGAAGCCAAACAGCGAGCTTGGTGCTGAGCATCGCGGCGATTTTGTGCCTGCCGGAGAAGCGAGAGTTCCCTGCGTCTCTGTTGATCGGAGATGACCGGCCTTTTGAAGGGACGGCGGATGTCATGCGGCGCCATGTCGTCAAATGAGATACAGCGCTCCCTCTATGCGTTCCTTGGCTGCTTCTTCACACAGAAATGTGGGCGCCTAGGCAGGCTTGAATTTTGATGTCTCGGAAATAGGGATGAAATTGAGAATGAAGGTGAGAATGGGATGGAAATGATGATTTAAAATTAATTTTGGGATAAAGTGATATTTAGATAAAATAATAACATTAATTTTATTTTTTACAACCATCATCATCCCCGCCTCGGTCCGCCTCATTCATCATCATCGACGTCCGTGGAAGGCTGGGGAGAGAAATTGAAATTAAGGACCAATGGGGACAAATCAATGGGCACTACGCAACAAACTCAGATTCGGATCACACTCATAAAAGCACAAATGAATAGACACTTAACCCACATTCAGAGAAATCCACAAGCCAGCATAAACCATATATGCAGGAGAAAAATACAGGAATTGGAGAACAAATCTGACAAACTGAGTTTTGGTCTTGGTCAGGATCGAATTTAAAGGATGTTTTATTTTAATTCTAATTTTTTAGTTAGAACATAAAATTACAGTCTTATTTATGCGCCGTTAGACTTTTATGCCCGACAAAAGCCTATCATGGAAAAAATGTTTCTTTTTTAAATTAGAAATTACTTCTAGTAATAATTATAAAAATTAGTTGACTAATTTAAAAAAATTAAAAAAAAATTAAGTTAGTTATTTATAATAAATAAGTGGTATCTTTTACTAAAATATCTTTACTAATCAAATATATTAATTAGAATTACTATTAGTAAAAAGACTATTTTAAAAAATATATATATATAAATACGAAAGAAAAAAAATGAATTTAGCTATTAGAAAGTGTGTTTTCAATGCGTGCTTGTAGAGCCGCCATCCGATCGCGGGGAGCACCGTCCGAGGTCGCTGCGTGGAGAAGAAATCGAGGGGGTGAAGACGGTGAATGGAGCAAACTGTATGGGGTCACTTGCCGCTACTGGTGAGGTCTAATTCCAAAGATTCCGTCGAATACATTCTTCAAGCTCTATGGAGAACCCGGAAAACCGGCCTGGACGCCGCCGACCGCCGTGTCATCCTTAACATGCTCCAGCTCCCCAACGACTCCGACCTCGACCCCGTACCTAGCCCCTCCTCTCTCTCTCTGTCTCACCGCTTACTTCGCTAATTTACAAGCGTAGTTATGCTAATTTCTCGGGAAATTTTGAACTGGTCTGAATTGGACCTTGGGGTTGGGTTTATCTCTGATGCGTACGGTTGGTTGGGCAACTTGAACTTGTCTAACTTCACTTCACACTTTCTTATTTTGACTTTCTGAATCTGGATGTTTATTTATGTCTCTGCTTCGTTGGTACTTGGACTAGAAGGCCTGAGAATGAGTTTGGAAACGCTACTGTTTTGTATCGGCAAAATGGTTGTGTGATTTCGCTGATTTGTATTTGAGAGTGTTATGATCAATGAATACCAACTTTGTGCTCTCATTTCTAGCTTTACATTAGATAAGGTGTAAAATTGTTTAATCTTCCAGCTTTTTGTGGGAAGGGGAGGAGTTGTTCTTCAGTTAGATTTGAAGCTACAAATCCACATGGCATCTAGGAACTAAACCTTCTTAGATAACTCCTGCTACAGATTATAATTTATTCATTTCTATTCTCTACCTGCAGCTTCTGGTGTGTCTTCGAATGTTAATAAGGAGGTGTGTTTATGAGAATATCAGCAAGGATGATATCCAAAAGCTGTTTCCCGCTGAGGTGCTTCCTGAATTGCAAAGACTGTTGACACTTCTTTTGCAGAAATTCCAACGAGAGTGGCAAGAAGATGTGCTGAAAGACCAGGTCAGTTATTGGTCGGCATACTTTATCTAGGCACTGGGTTGGAGCAATTAATCTGACATTGTATTGGAATCAAATTTTATTCAGAACACTGTGCCTCGTTTAAAGGCAATGACATGGAATATGGCAAATCCAGACAAAGAATCAACAGACCCTTCAGCTGTTATTAATCTGAAGGTATGTACCTCCTTTCGATCTTTATTAGAGGAAGCATCTATAAATGCCTTATTTATTCCTCTCTAACTTATCGTTTTAATTTTGCATATGTTTAAAGTACATAGACATTACCTAATTTAAGTGAAAATGTAAACTTTGATTTTATGTGGTTGTATTATTTCAGCTTCAAAATGATTCTCCATTACATTTGGGAGAACTGGATGTAAAGTTCCTGTTGGCTAAAGATAGTCTAGAGATGATGCTGAAATCCATGCACAGCATCAAAGATCAGTATCCAACATTGGTAAAAGTTATGCCTCGTTTCTTATCTAGATTTAGTTAATGTGATATAATATGCTTATATTAGTCAATTTCTTTTTTCTAATTGAGCTCAATTTTTGTCAGGATGTGGCTTCAAATGGACATTAGTACCAGTAAAGTGGGAAACCAATGTAATTGTTTCCAGTAGTTCTTTCATAGAATGGTATGCTTGAAATATGTTGCTTTTACGTTTCACTTGGCTTGCTTATCAGTGGACATAGCCGGTCTAGTTACCAGCTAGATATAACATTTAGAGTTTGAGATTTTAATATGAGTGTTGGCTATCTGCTTAAATGAAAATGCATTTTCTTCACAGGTTTGTCTCGTACCCTGTTATGCATGATGGTTATCCGGGCATGAGTAGTGTAGTTTACTTGGGATAAAATATCATTCGGCTTGAAGTTACAGTCTCAGCCAACTTAGAAAGGCTTGTCAATTTGAAGTCACAATGACTGACTTAGAAGTGGTAAAACGCTCCGGATGCCGGTTACGGGTCAGCTCGCCACGGGCTCAAGATCATGTGGGTCGGTCTTAAAAAGACCGCTTCCTAGCGGGCTCATATTTTGCCAGCCCGCCCCGCTCTTTTTTTTTTATTTTAATTTTTGTACACATATATTTTTAAAAAATTTAAACTAGATTATAAATTTTTATAGACCAAATTCTTCTTATTCTTATATTTTCATATAATTATATAATTAAATTAATCTCAAAAGTTGAAATCTAAGCATATAATTCATTGTTAATAATTATTTTATTAGTATAAAAATAGTAAAATAATAAAGAAAATGAGAAATCAAATTTAGAATCAGAGTTTCTAATAAAATACATAGTTATATGTAAATTAAGTGAAAATAATAAAAAAATTTCTTATTAAAATTAAAAAAAAAAATTCAAAAAAGGCTAGCAAGCTAAAAGGAACTGCGTCAAATGGTTCTTATTTTTTTCAACCTGACTTGTCATTTTTATGACAAGTCGGCGGGTTGAATTATTTTTTTCAACCTGGCTCTAGACTGATTGAAGTCTTTATGTATATTTCATAATGCCACCTAAAAAAATGGACAAGCCATTTCTTTTTTTTTTTGGGCCAACATGAGTCCATAATCACTGTGGAAAATAATTCAACCCAAAAAGGTTGTAATGCCTATTTGAAATTGGAATAGATGAGATGACGAGTGGGTTGGCCAGCGTCGTGTGGTTATATACGCCTAGAGTACAGCCTATCTCGAGGCCTCTTTGACTGAAGGATGAAAGGATTGGAGTGAGCTCTAACGCCTCAAAGAATAATGCTTTGAAAGAAAGGTTCAAGAGCTTCGTCCATACATTCTTTGAAGACATATACAGGAATCAGACTGTATGCTTAGAAGGTGCCAGATGCTCAGCTTCGACAGGAATTACGAATCTCTGCATCAAAGAATCTGATTCCTGCATGCCGCTCCTTTTTGGGAAGGTTTAGTGGTCAGCTTGAGGCAAGGCATGCTGGCAAGTACATCAAAGATGCCCTTGAGGATTTGGAGAACTATTTATTGAATTTATTTGAAGGAGATCCTCAAGTAGTGTCTGCACCACGTTAGGAGGAGTGGTATGGAATTTTAACGTGTAAGCTGCTTTTACCGGGAAAACTTTTTCTTTTCCCCTCTTAATCTTGCAACTGGATAGGGTCTACTTGCATTGGCGTCTGGTAAACGCAACAAGGAAAAAAATACGTGTGACTTTCTAGAATATTACTGTAACGCAATGATAGCTCTCATGATTCACTGACTTTAAGATAATCAAACCAGTATCTCCTGAAACTATTTCATACCATCGCATATTAAAATATGAAACAGGAAGCTTTCATATTCTTATTAATTTTGTTGTTTATATTCAACTTCAAATCCTGTCTTCTCTAGCAAACAAGGTTTGGGGAAGAGAAAGTAGCTAGAGAATGGTGAAAAATTCATTTAGCGTTTGTGTAATGTTAGAATTTGAAGTATTTGCGAGTGTATGATATCATCATGCCATTGCCATAGCCGCCTATCGTCCCATCCATAAAAATCAAATGGTCTATAAAAAAAAATTAATTAATTAATAAAATGCCGTCGTCCTTTCATTTCATAAGGCAGAGCAGAATATTTTTGTACAATATTCCATATTTGTTTATTTATTTATTTATCTATTCATAGCATCCTAGTGTGAAACCATCACAGGATTCCACACAATTCCGATCGACACCACGAGGGATTGAATGTGACTCTTGACCAGCATTTTGAAATGCAAAATTCAAATATTCCTAAAGAATTAAAAAAGAAAAATAAAGATCCAATCTATCAAAGGTCAACGCCCTATTAATAATATTAAACTGACAGATTTACACGTTTATATTTTCCCCCTAAAATTCTACACTCACAATCACAGGGAAAGAAATAAATTTCAAGATAATCATTATGAAAACAAATATCAGCTCCGTTATTTACCTGGCATGTAACTCTATTCTTATGTGTTTAATATTTATTCCCAGAATTGAGTGTGAAACCTTAAGCTATAATCTAGATAGCACACCAGGAACAAATATCTAATTTGTTGGAAAGGGGAATTATTTTATGAAAAATTTAATAAAATATAGTGTCACGTCATTATTATTATTTGGGAAGAATAATTAAAGTTTAGCTGGATAACTTAGCCCACAAAAGGGGTTAGTTAGATAAGAATTTTTTCTTTAAAAATAAAGTTCCGTAAAGAATCCAGATTTCAAAGGCAGCCTAAGCCATATGCATGTTAGGATTAGGATGTCTAATATTCGTATAACATAACAATATTGACAAAAAATTGTATAATAATAACAACAACCACAATCGTAATAGAATTCCATATTTTATTTGAAATATCATCTTAATCTGATTCCCATCATCCAAAGTTGTGGAAGAGAGCACAAACAAAAATTCCTCAAAATGAAAGGGAAAGGATATGCTGCCAATTCACTCACATTTCAAGATAGAATATGATATAATTATTATTAATTGCGAACATATACCAAGTTTGTGTGTCTGTGACAAAGATCACCAGTTGGAAAGCGATATTAACATCTATCTATTCATAGGAGAATTATAATAAGACTCTAAAAAAAAATAATTACTAAAAAGTTTTAATACCAATCTAAACAGTTTGTAATGATAAGTTTTAAGATTTATATTGTAATTTTTTTAAGATCTTAATGTAGTTCTCCCATCTATTCACTGCCTAATAATTTTACAGACAGTTGAATCGAGCATCCTGAAACAATTATGGGATTGAAATTTCATATCAGCTGGGTGGGGGCACTCTTAATCTGGACCCATTCAAATGTCACAACATGACTCGCAAAAAGTTGATGTCGCTGTTAGTAGAATGACATGCAGGGACAGGGTCCTTCAGATGATAGACATGAACTGTTTTAAAAATTATAAATCAGATGAAGCCAAGGCCTAACCCACCAACTGATCATAGAAAAAAGGGATAGAAACTGGCACTTTGTTAGCTCGTTAATGTGTAGGCTATTCCAATATATTACTGTCTGTATTTGAACATATTAAGAAAACTAATTAAGTTAATTATTTGTAATAAATAGGTATTGTCTTTCATAAAATATCATTACTCATTAAATATACTCATTGAAACTATTATTATTACAAGGCCTATCTTGAAAAAAAATAGATAAAAATAAGAGACAAAATGGATTGAAATCTTATATTTAAAACTAATATGAAAATCAAACAAGCTCTTATATTAAGAACTAGAGATAGTATAACGTATAATTTATGGTCCACGTCTATAACGAGCTAATATGTATTATTGACTTTAAGTGTACTCATCATTGTCTACTAATAACACAGTATTTGTACTATTAGCTTATAGGTATTAGTATTTATACTTCAAATATCAATGAAGTTTGAGTCCTCTTGTTTTATTTGTGGGTAGAAACGAGAAAGAAAAAAAAAAACGTGTTTTGGTTCAACATTTCACACTTGAGTATGAGAGGCAATTAAATTATTATCGGCCAGCCAGCCAGCCAGCTCAACACCACACGGACATTCTCTCACACGATGGTGAAAATCTGGCGAATTGCCAAAAATTTTGTGCCAACAACAAATCTTGATTTCATCTATAATCAATCAGACCTTCATATTTAATCACTACTATCAGTTTTGGTTGTTCCTTATACCGCTTTAAAGCTAATCCAACTTTGGGGCACAAACCCAAAAGAAGAATAGCTAATTCAACTTTTACAATGGCTTATTTTGTTTTTCGTATATTTTTTTGCCACAATGGCTTATACTACCTTATAAGATCCAGTTGACTTATTTGAGGAGATTAAGGAAGTAAATTAAGTTAGTTATTTGTAATAAATAAGTGTTGTCATTCCTAAAATATCCTTGTTAATTAAGTGTATTGGTTAGAACTATCATTATTAGAAGGACTATCTTGAAAAAAAATGCATAAATATAAGAGAAAAAATGGATTGGGGTCTTATAATTAGGACCAAACAAAAAGTTAAACGGGGTCTTATATTAAGGACCGGAGGTAGTATTTTGTTAGCACTGTAACCTGGTTATCATCAATTAAATTTGCCACTTGTTTGTTAAGTTTGACCTTAGAGAAAAAAAGATTTTCAAATTATTTAGAAGAACAACGGTTAACTTCAACCCATACATTTTTTTTTTGGAGTAAAATACTGAATTTCATCAATTTAACATAATACTTATCTGATTCTTAGTATAAGACTTATTTAACTAATTTAATTAGATTAAAAAAGTTAGGTAAGTTAGTTAATTATAAGAAATATGACATACTTTTTCTAAAACACTATAATCATATTTCCTAATATCTTCTCTCCCTCTTTTATTTGATTATGGTTAAAGGAGTATCCATAAGATTAATTTAGGAAAAATTAATAAATATAAGAAATATGTATTATATTTAGGACCAAAATCAATTCAATAATTATGTTCTATATTAAGGATTGGAGGAGTAATATATAGAAAGTGAAGGAGTATCTGCCTCATCAGAATCTTTTATCTAATAACTAGAAGGTAATTAAAGATACAAAAATTATCCTTTATACTCTTCCGGTCTTTAATATAAAACCCATTTAACTAATTTGATTAGATTAAGAAAGTTAGGTAAATTAGTTAATTATAAAAAAAGTGACAAATTTTTTCTAAAACATCATAATTATCTTTTTTAACATCCCTCTTCCTCTTCTATTTGATTATGATTGAGGAAATATCCATAGAGATAATTTTAAAAAAATTGATAAATATGATAAATATGTCTTATATTTAAGACTAAAACCAATTCAAAAATTAGGTCATATATTGCGGACGTGAATAGTACTATTAAGAGATTTAGCTAAATAATCATATGAAAGATGATTCCTATGAGAGTGGAAAATGATGACCTACTAGTTTCTATGTAATAGCAACCTAATATCTCCTGTAACATCTCTAATCCTAGTGGCCATATATTCTTTGAAATTGTGATAAAAAGAAGTTTAAAACAATAAAAAAGAATTAGAGAGGGACCCCGGCCAACAGTAATAACATGTAAGGGCAAAGATGAAGGCGAGGGCGAGGCAGAGAGGGTACGTCACAGAGTACAGCCAACGAAAATGTCGCGAGTCCCGAAAAGTCTAAAGGCGTGAATGGCGAACAAAGGCCTTATTTAGGCGGCCCCAAAACCCAAAAGCTTTATCTTACAGCCGAGGGACGGCCCCATCCTGTGTTCGCTTCGTTGATCATAGCATCCCCGCCTTTCTTTCGGTTTTCATTCTGATTCTCCCCCTCCCTTTCTTCTTCACTGGTTTTTCTCAGCTCTCCCAATTCGAAGAAACCCTAAAAATTTAGAAATCTGATTCTTGCGCGCTGATGGCCGCCACCACCACCACCCCCACCAGTCTGGGCGATGGTGCCGATGATCGACTCCTAGCCACGGCTCAGCAGATCGTTAGGAGCCTCAACACTCCTAAGGAGGTCCGTGAAGACATGCTTTTGATCTTCTCTAGCTTCGATAATCGCCTGTCCAGTATCACCGACCTCATCAACGGTGAAGATTCCAGGCCTTCTGCGACTGAAGAAGACCTTGACCGCTTCCAAGCTGCTGAGAAAGTCATCCTTCGCTGGGACGGGTCCGGTTCTGGAGCACCTTCCCGCGAATCCAACTCGCTTCTCCATTCTCGGGGTGACGTTGTCGAGTATTTATGTGCGGTCGACGACATTATTCAGTGGATTGAACAAATTTCGATCGCTCCCTCCGGTAAAGAGACTCAAATCCTGATCGACCGGGCGGATAACGCGATCCAGCTCGCCATGTCGAGGCTAGAGGACGAGTTGCGACATGCCTTGATTAGGAACACGGTTCCACTTGACGCTGACAGGCTCTATGGGTCGATCAGAAGGGATAGTCTCTCGTTCTCATCGAATTATGGGGAGCTTGGCGAGAATTTTGAAAGCTTCGATGAGGTCAATGATTGCGATTCTGCACGGTTTCATGAGCGCGGTGCCAGCTTGGCCGACGATGTCTTCGTTGATTTGATAAATCCAGACGGGGTGGAAGAGCTAAGAGAGATTGCTGACCGAATGCTCAAGTCTGGCTACGAAAGGGAGTGCCTTCAGGTTTATAGCAATATTCGTCGCGACGCCTTGGATGAGTGCTTGGCTATCCTGGGGGTCGAGCGACTGAGTATCGAAGAGGTTCAGAGGATTCAGTGGTACTTGTTGGACGAGAAAATGAAGAAATGGATATACGCTGTTAAAATTGTTGTCAGGGTGCTCCTCACCGGCGAGAAGAGGCTATGTGACTGTATATTTGAAGAATACAGCGATGCCTGTTTCAACGAGACTGCAAAAGGGTGTGTTATGCAGTTGTTGAATTTTGGTGAGGCCGTTGCAATTATTAGAAGATCACCGGAGAAGTTGTTCAGGATATTAGATATGTACGAGGCTTTGAGGGATGCGTTCCCTGACCTGGAAGCTTTGATTTCAGATGATTTTGTGATTAGTGAAGCCAAAGGATTGCTAACTGTGCTCGGTGAGGCAGCTAAAGGTTCATTTGCTGAGTTTGAGAATGCTGTTCGTAATGAGACTTCCAAAAGGCCAGTCTTAACTGGGGGTCTTCATCCAATGCCACGTTATGTGATGAACTACATGAAGTTGCTAATGGATTATGGTGACTCTCTAGACTCACTTTTAGAAGTAAGTGAAGAGGATCTTGATCGGTTTCAAAAAACCCACGGCGGTGACAGTTCTCAGTTGGAGACCATGTCCCCCTTACATCAGAGAATGCTGTTTTCCATGTCAGAGCTGGAGTATAATCTTCAGGAAAAATCTAGAATCTATGAGGACAGTGCAATGCAGTATATATTTTTGATGAACAATATTTACTACATTGTGAGAAAAGTGAAAGATTCAGATCTTCGGAACGTCCTAGGAGATGACTGGGTTCGAAAGCGCCGTGGTCAGATACGCCAGTATGCGACGGCCTACCTCAGGGCCTCTTGGACCAAGGCATTGTCCTGTTTGAAGGATGAAGGGATTGGAGGGAGCTCTAGTAATGCCTCAAAGAATGCTTTGAAGGAAAGGTTCAAGAATTTTAATGCATGCTTTGAGGACATTTACAGGATTCAGACTGCTTGGAATGTGCCGGATGCTCAGCTTCGGGAAGAATTACGAATCTCTATATCAGAGAAGGTGATTCCTGCATACCGCTCGTTTGTGGGAAGGTTTGGTAGTCAGCTAGAGGGAAGGCATGCTGGGAAGTACATTAAGTATACGGCTGAGGATTTAGAAAGCTATTTATTGCACTTATTTGAAGGAGAGCCTAAAGTATTGCACCACGTGAGGAGAAAGAGTACATAGGATATAGGATTCTCATAACAGGTGAATTACGTTTACCAGGAATATTTGGAAGACATTTCTTTTGTTATGTGTATCCTGCATCTGGATAGGTGTTTATTTTCCAGGTCCTTTAATCTCTAGACTTTGTCATACTGAACTCTCTTGCCATCCCTCCCCTAACAACCAAAAAAGAACACAACACAACGCTTTGCTACATATCTGTAAGTTTGTGACGGTAATAATATTCTGTATATGCGCCGTAAACTATAGTTTGACATGCATAGTGTTTTAACACATTTCTGTATAAATAGTTTGACTGAAATTGTGCCTTTGCAGCCGAAGATTAAATATTCTAATATTCATCCATGTATCTGGCTTCGGGTGGTGTTATCATTTCCTAGACGTATTTGTGTAACTTCACTGCAATTTTCTTAATTAGATTGTTTAATGTTTCGTTTAAGTATGGAAATGAGGGATAGGTAAAGCTGAAACTGCGGGCTGGCTAGAAAATTGGCTGCACATTATTGAATATTCCCTAACCATAAGGCTTGCATGATGATCATAGTCTCGCAGGTAAATGGAGATGAAGGATGAATATATCACCGATATCTTGATAGCATGTAACAATGATGTGTGGTATTAAATATTAATCATTTTGGTGATCGCAAGTCATGCGTTTGTGGGTAGGTCAAGCACACAAGCTCAAGAGAAAAGCCTTGGCACTGAGTGCTGTGTTTCACCCAGGGCGTCATCGAGCTCCTATTATTGGCGTGTTAAATGTAGATGTAGTTTACGAATGCGTTTTCCTCCATTGTGATTAGACTCTCATATGCATACTCTTTTTTTTTTTTTAAGTTACTATTACATGTACTTGGCTAAGCTCAAGCTTGAATCTGCACTTCGCCATTTTAGTGCATACAGTGGCTTTATATGAAACCTTTTTAATCAGTCATTACCATTTTCTGACAGCTTGTCTTTTCGAATATACCAGCCGATGTTATTCTTCATCACTGTTTATCAACAGTTGTAGTGCGATATTTAAACTGTCCCATACAACCAAAGCCACTCCGGTGCATGTTTTGGGGTTTTCTGCATCATTTAAAGTTCACTCGTGTTTGCTCTTTCTTGCTGCTGAAAACGGTTTATCCAAACGGTTAGAGAACGGTTGCTGTTGCATTTGCATATTCGTCCTTGTATTACTCTGCATTTGTTCACTTTTTTGAGCGGACAATGGAGAAAGAAAACCGAACCATTGTTCACAAAAATTCATGTCTCACAATATATTGGTAAACCAGGTGGAGGAACCTCTACAAATTAAATGTGTTGAACTGTTTTGAGTCAGGATACTGTAATCAGAGAGTCTGTTTGACTTGCTCGCTCCTTCACTTTGTCGTTGGATTATACAGAGTAGGAACGATGGAGGATATATTCATTATGAGCGGAAATCACGTCTAATTTGAAACACGAGAGGAGAAATTCACAACTGGACCTCTGTTTCGCTTTCTTTTCTTACCATAAAATACGGCGTATTGCCAAGGGTAGAAAAACTAATAACTCAGTAAAACACAGTCGCAAGAAGAAAGTGATCGACTCTTGAAAGAGGGAGAAAAAAAACTCGCCGAAGCTCATGGTTACAGAACTGAGGGAATTCGTTCTCAAATTTACAGCAACCCTTGCTCGTACAGGTTAAACACGTTCAACAAAATTGCAAATTGCTTTGTGCCTTTGCTACAAGTCTTCACAAAGCAAAAGATCAGCTATTAGGCTCTCTGAATTAAGAGAGTTTAAACCTGAATGCGACTCATAACCCATCCCACTTAATAAATTAGGCTCAAGCGGCCAAGTTATTGGTTTTTAATGTTTGCTAAACCCGGCAGTTTGGAGGAAGAGGAAGAACACCATCAAAGAAATCACCAAAGTAGCCTCGAGGCTCGTGTACTAGCCTTGAGATGATGTCTCTGAGTGTGATCACTCCTTCCAGATTCCCGTTATCATCCACCACATAGATTCGATTAATCTTCTTGTTGTCAAGCAATTGAATCAGTTCTTTCACTGTGCAACCCTTTTTGCATGTAACCAATTCACTTAATTTTGGGAATACCTCTTCATGCTTCTCTAAGTAGCTTCTAACGGCTGTGAGGAAGTCTTTTACTGTTATATTCCTGTCACAATACAAACATCCAATGAGTTGGTAAGATCAAAGAGAATAATGGTGATAGATGAAAATGAGCAACTACGAGATCTAATGTGATGAGATGACAAACCTATAATCGTGAAAGATTTCAGGAGCAGTTAGCAAGAATTGAACATCTCGTAGGCTTATGGTACCCACTGCTTTGTCATCACTTCTCTCGATTACAGGGACCCCTCCAATCCTATTTTTCCTCATCGCTTTAAATGCTTGAAGCACCGGTTCATCCTCATAAACCTAAACAGGGAAAGGAGATTTTGTGAAGCTGATCAAAATCAGTCATCTCACTTGAAAGGGATAGAAAGATAGAACTTGTCTAAAGTTATGGCAGTATACGGTTAAGGTGATGGAAACCTCCAAAATTCATGTATTGAAATACTGAAATGTATGAAGCAAATCCACCCGCAAGGGCAAAAGGGCATAATTACATTCGAAATAGAGAAAAATCATAGAAAATGAGTAACACAGAATTGCAACTGCCAACAGGAAATAAAGCCAAGATTCGCTCAAAATCGATCTATCATTTTTCCATGCCTCTTCCTTAATCATGCCAACTTTTTGTCGATCCTTTCTTAACTAACTCTCGAAAGAAACCCATACCAAAAGTCAACACTCTTTGCTGTCAAAGTTAGTTCAACACCCTTTCTCATGTAGCCTAGCCTATCTTTTCCTTAATCTCCTCCTTACATCGTCTACAGTATATGGAGGATCCATCAAGAGATGTATAAAATGTTACATTTGAGACATCAGGGAAAGCTGTATCGCCAGATGACCTAGGCTTATGGAAATGAATATGCGACACGTTTCAGACACACTGAAATGCTGTAGTTCAGTGGGTTTTTATATATGCCTGTCCCAGATGTGTAATTGACAACTGCTGTGGTGAGGTTTAGAATTAATTGACTACCCCTTTTCATATCAGTTGACTCAAACTCAAATTTCAGAACCATAACTTTTTCTTCCTTCTTAGGAATTTGAAAAGATACCTTGATAATCTGATTTTCTGTCACCAGAGGAAGACCAACTGCAGATAGCATCTTGGTTCCCCAACTCTCAAACCACTGAAGTCCAGAACATTCAGCCAACATATGAATAACAGCAGGCTGTGTAATAACGTTATCAATCCTGCCTGCACCCAAATCCACCACAGGAATACTCTTCATCTTGTACTTTGAAAGCAACAAAAGCATAGTCAAGAATGAATTTGATCTCTGCAATGCAAGGAATGGGGCCCAGCGGAATGAACCTGAAATATCACGGACCTGTGTGCTAAAGAGTTAGCATAACAGGGTCGAATCCTGCAAGTGAAGAATTGGGACAAAAACAACAAGGATTTCTCAGGATAAGACACAACCTTGGCACTCTTGTAAAGTTCAGAAGATGTCAAATCCTCAAAAAAGTTTCCTGAAGTTGCAGCAGCAGAGCCAAGGCCTAAGCCCTCAAGTTCTCGAGCAGCATTACATCCATTAACTGCAGCTGCAATAGCACTTCCACTTGTTGGACTCCTAGGAGATGGAGGTTCAGACTGTCAAGAAAGTCAGTTCCCATATTCACTTAGCGTGAAAACTGAAACATCCAAGAAAAAAACAACCTTAACAATGACAAGGTATCATATCATTTTATTCAATTATTATTATTATTACTTTCACATGCTGCATGATAAGTTGAGAGCAATCACTTCTCTCCACCAAAGAGAAAATATCTTTTTTCCTATTCAGAGTCCTATTCTTCTCCAAAAGAGAGAAGCATGTGAACCACTCTATATTTGAAAATTGAAAATGCGGTACTTGAAAGGCCAATTGAACGAAGGGTATTCAGATGATCATATTCTCTGAACATGTTTAGGTAGGATATTATGCTTCTGTTTCAATAACACTTTAGACTATATACTTATTATAACCTCCATTCCATGAGAGGTTCAGTAGAATATATGATATATTTGTTGCACAGGAAAGTGATCCACTCCTTTGAGAAAACAATAAGTAGGTTTACTGAATTTAGGCTATTCTTCCCTTTAATCTTCATTCGTGATCTTAGAAACTTTTTTCCTTTTGGTTTTTTTTTTTTTTGGTTTTTTTTGGGGGGGGGGTTCCTTTCACAGAGAGATAACTTAAACCTCAATTATCTGCGTCATATCGCCAATTTTGGAAGCAGACAAAGAAATCCTACATTCAATAACGCAATCGATTTATCATGCAAGGAAAAATAATTAATATCCAAACTAATGGGTATTTTATGCCCCTGATTTCATGTATACCTGTTGCAGAATCCAAACAGCAATTCCAGCAAACTCAACAATTCCAATATATCTATCAATCCAAGTAGCATCTTCAGATGCCTCGACATCAACAACAGGTGCGCTAAGAATATTGTGCTGTGACAATATTTTAACAGCCTCAGACAGGGTGGTGTCTGATTTTATCTCAATCACTGAAAAAAAAAAATGGAAGTCATACATGTTGAGGCCAAAATAGAGAAACAGAGAGGGGGAAGAGACACAAGATACCAAAAAACTATATATATATATATATATATTTATATATGAAGAAGAGACAGGCATGAATTATGATCGAGTTTGTTTTACTGCTAGCCATGTCATCAAAACTAGATCAATTTTTTATCTGCTTTGATCAAAATCATGAAATCAAACATCTTTAAAACATGGCTAGCCTTCATAGGTAGATCGTGCATATAAAGACCATTACACACCTAGGTTAGAAGAAGCTAGGGGAAAGGCAGAGACAGGGATGCTTTCGAAGCAAGCATTAAGCTTTTCAGTAGGACTCAGCTGTGGCTCCTGAACGTCCCACAGATCCTCCACTCTCATTCCCAGCTTCGCCTCTGGGCTCCTCGGACCCATCTCCTGCATGGTAGCCATAACACAACACACTCACACTCTCTCTCTGCAACTCGTAATGGTCTAAAACCTCAACGCACCCAGCACGTCCCATAAATAACCCAAGGGGAAGACACTGAAGCCTACCATCACTATACAGAAATGATGTTATATACGTGAGAATGAGATCTTCACCGTTGAATCCGTATACTTTGACTTCAGTTCCCTTGACTTCTGGGCATGAGGGCACGTGGACGGGTGTGATAAGGTCACGACCATTTTGCTGTCAACGTAATGGTTTTGTCGGGGCGCCCCACTCGCAATGCTTATCTGAGTTCGTGCATGATTGGGGCAAAACATCCTTATCCGGTTTTTACTATTGGCCACAAGAGCGGGCGACACTAGTGTGCGCCAAGGCGTGCTTTGCGCTCATGGGATTGAGAATTTGACGTCTGTTGAGAGAGAGACTGCAGGCTAAGCCTTTGTTCTAATCGAAGTCATGATTTACAAACACTCACCATTATTTAATGCAAAATGCATTCTCCTTGTTTGTAGGAAAATATGTAAGTCAGCCCATGAGAACTGACCCTTGCCATTTTCACTAATAACCGTCGAAATTTGGACTTCATCAAAATAAATGTTCGTTCCAATCAAGTTGACCTTCGATGATTTGTAAGGTTTGGGTTATAATGCTGAAGATTTATGAAAGCGTGCATGTCTACTGCGTCACTTGAAGAGAATTAGGGATTCGCCGATCAGCATTGCGCAATTTTATTTTTCCCTGTGGGGTTGGGGCTTTTCCCTCATGCATCATTTTTGTGATTGTTTGATCTCTGATATAGAATTTGTATCGTTGACTGTCATTGAAACCTCTTCGGTAACCCATAGCAAGTGAATGAGTGGCAGGCGTTGAAATTTTTTTCCTTAACTGCGGGTGGCGGGGGACACATGGAGGCACTGACTTGACCAAAGTTTTATTTTGTGTTATGTGCAAAGTAAAACCGACTCTAGCATTTCACAAGGCAAAAAGAGATGCTGATTAGTGAACCAATTTTTTACATCAAGATTTCAACCAAACAGAATCAGGCTGCGGACAACAAAAAAATTAGAACATACAATCACTAAATTCTTTCTTTTTTCCCAACTCCAGCTCATTCTGATTTTTCTTTCTTCTTTTTACCACCTCTCAGTCGGGTAAAACTGCCCAAGTTTACATAAATTTTGCATGTCCCGTCCTCTTCTTAGTTTACAAGGAAAGAAGCCCGTGTTCAGGCAAAGTGCAACCAAGACCTGCGAGCAACGGTAGAAGATCTTCTTCTACCATATATTTTAGGTGCTTCTGGGAGCATTATTTTTCAGCAGTTTTGCGATTCAGGTAACGAGTGACAGCGTGCTCAACCCTGAAAGCATTATCAGAAGAACACAAAATCCATCACGAAAGTATTAGGCGGGTTGGAACACCAAACACGGTTCTCAGAATGTTAATCAAGCTCGATTTCCCTAGAGCCTAAAAAGCCAAATCTGAAATAAAAATTTCAGTCTCGAGAACTATTTATGCAGCGATTTCAGCAAGCCAACAGGAACATAGTGCAAGCCATGGAAAAAGATAATGCCAATTTCAGTGGCTGCCACTCTTTTCGACCGCCATTTTTTAGTTTGATAAATGAAGAAATTTCAACAGGATTAAGGAACTTCAAGTTTCCAATATTAATACCATCATGGCCAACTAAAATGTGCATTCTGAGCATGAAACACTCCGCAAGAACAAAGATAAAGTAATTGAAGACTTACCATGGTTGATTGTAGAATTCAGAACGTCGTTCTCTTTCTGCATAATGGCTGGCATCTCCGGCAACAAGCTTTAAATCCTTACTCTGAGAAGCAATCAAAGCATTGATAAACTCTGCAGGGGAATGACTAAAGCCAAGAAAAAAGCTCGCCTCTTGCAATGCTCATGGATCTTCTTTATGGCAGTAGAGATCACTTCATCGCAAGCATCTATCTCTTTATGCTTCTCAATGCTTGACAAGAATGAAGACATGTCCTTCTCTAGCGGAAAAGGCACATCAACCTGCACATCATAACATCCAGTACTGGCTGGACAAACTCCAGAAAGTTTGATTTTGTGCTGCAAATGTATAGGTTGGGGTTGGGATAAATGCTGTGATATCTTCTGAGCAATCATGGAGAACTTTATCTTCTCTTCACCAAACCCCTTTGAAGAGGAGGATCACACATGAAGAATGAAGGGTCATTTGGCTCTGCAGCTTCTTGGACTTCACATAGTGCCAAAGAGCAGCTATTATTCTTGGGAGTCTCAACCTCAATCCCTAAAAGCTTAGACAGTTGTGCTGAAACCATGAACTGCTCAGGTACATAATTCAATTCTATTCTGATCACTGCAGTGAATTCTTTGTCTCCTTTCCTCTTTACCTCAAAACCCTCTTGTTGGGTAGGTGAACGAGCACTCTCCCATAAGATGACATGATTATCGGGATAAAGGCTCTGATCCAAGTATATGGTCATTTTCTTGAAAAAGGATGAAAATTTAGGATACACGGAGCTTGATTTCTGTGAGACTCCAGCTGCCACAGGATCCTTACCGTCTTCTAATATCCTTCCTGTTATCTTAAGTGACCAAGAAGGCTCCTCTGCATTTTTCTTCTCAGAATCTATTTGTACCTGATTTGAAAATGTATTGTACACATAAATACGTAGAGTTCTTCGAACACATGGAGGATTTTTAAGAGACTCCCGTACGTCAATCTTCTTCCTGGCTAAAATAGCATCTATCTGAGCTTCATATTCAAGTAACTGAGTGTAGATGGCGGACTCCGGCAAAAGTGCAGCCACCTTTTCCGGTATTTCTTTCTCTGGTAATTTCCGCTTCTTCCGCCTGGCAGCTGGGGTCAATTCCATAGTCTTAAATGGCGAGGCTGGATTAGCATTGGAGGAACCGCCAGGCCTAGAAGGTGGCTTTTGAGTAGCCCGCTTCGCACTTGCTGTGCCAGGCGTTGAAACAGATGGTGGAGTCATGTTCGCAGTGTTAGTATTAGTGCTATGCAACTGGGCAATAGCAGGTTGCGTTTGAGGTTGTACATGACCTTGAAGTTGAGCATGGGGAGCCTGAGATTGCACACGGACATGAGCTTGTGGATACTGGGCATGAGCAAAAACCTGGGCTTGGGGTTCAGAAAGCTGAAAATGACCAGGAAAGTGAGATGCACCTTGTGTTGGAGGCTTTGACTGAGAAAGAAGATGGGGCTGCTGGCTAGTGGGGTTAGGCTGAGGGGCGGTTCCAGGATTGCTCAGAAGGGACGATGCCCCAACGTTCTTTACAGGATTATTCATGATAACGTCGCTTCTAAAATAGGACCTTAGTCATAAGCAAACTCCCTGAAAATGAAGTTTCATAAATATCTGATCTCCAATAACGGCAAGCGGCCAAATTTCATGAACTAGGTATTTCTTCATAAGCTTCCCCTTTCTCACCAGCCCACTTCTCCAAAAGAACACAAATCAGAAGGCGAAATCAGACTCTCCATAACCTGCTTTGTCAGAAACAAGACGTCTTGGATCTAAAATTATTCAGAAAATTCAAGAATAAAAACCCTAACTACAATACCACATTGTCGAATGTTAAGACGCACTGATTCAAAATTGAAACCGGCCACACCAATCTTCGATGGGGGGTTTGTATAAAGAAGCAAGCAAACCGAGGGAATCTTACTCGCAATATTCACTTCCGCTACGCTCTCTAAAATTTGAAGTTTGATATGGGAGTCGAAGCGCGACTACTTGGCGGTCCCTGCGATACCTTTCCACCCCAGGACGTATATTTTTTAATTATTTCTTACCAAGATTACATTTGGTTTTCTTACGGGAAGCAGTCTTTTTGGTTTTCCCTCTTCTCGTCTCGGTCGGGAACGAACCAAATGAACGGGTAAGCCCCAGAGGAGAGAGCCACGGGTCTCTAGTCTCAGCCTTGCGACGAATATCCAAGACATGTACATATCAACGACGATGTTAATAAAATTTACAGCACCACTTATTTATTAATTGATGTAATTTATCCCATGAAAATTTAGTCCAAATTTTTATTAGTCGTATCTTACAATAGGTGAGAATTCAAATGTTGCTTGTTGGGGAAAAAAGAAAATTCAAATTTTTCACATGAAATTCTTGCTTGTTAAAATAGATATGATGCGCAAATTTTTTTTATAGTAAGCAGCCATAAAAAAAATTTTTTGTACATTTTTATCAATAATTGTACATTCTCTCTCTTTTTTTTACCAGCTGTACATTCTCTTTTTTACTCAAGGTATGCCTGCCACTTGTTATATTATTAGTCAACACTGTATATAAATTTTTTTAATAATTTAAAATATTGGATTTATATCCCTATCCCTTTGCGTTAGTTTAATCCCTCTTGTTTAAAGTGCAAAGTAGCCCATGCCCCTTGGCCGTTGCCCTCACTCCTCACCTTGATTAATCATCCCAGAAATCAAAACCCAACATTGAAAATAAAAGGCATTTAAGTCATCCAAAAAGCATAAAACCTCTAGAAAA